CTACCTTTAGGCATTTTACCTTATAAGGTTAAAACAGGTGTGCTCATAGATTGATTGCTCACACGCTAATTATAGGCAAACTGTGAAGGATGAGAATAGAACGTGTGGTAGCCTCTTACAAGTGCATACTCATATGAGCATGACATTGGTGTACACTCGCTCATGAAAGAGATCTCGAGCGACTAAAGAGATTTGAAGTACGTGACTAAAGTCAAAAGTTTAAAATGACAAGTGGAAATTGTAAATATAAAAAATATAATTTGGCAAATGACTCTAAACTAATAAATAAATATAGAATATATTATTATTATTAACTAAAAAATTATCAAGTAATTTTTAACCAAATTTTAATTAAATTATGAGTTATAATTGAATTTAATATCACAAGTTACTCATTGAACCATAAACAATTGAATTTGTTAGCATAAATAAATGAAATGAGTTGGGTTATATTTAAACTTACTTCATTCGTTTAACTTTTCATGTTTCTAAAAAAGAGTTCGATTTTGAATTATTCATCGAATGCATTAGTTCCCTTACAACCATAATTTATATGTATATATTAAATCTTTAAGTTAGATGTGTATATATTATTTTTCATGATTGATGTATTTTTCTATATAGGTCCTAAAACATCTCAAAGAGAGAAATATGAAGATGAATAATAAATATAAAGGATACAAAGAGGGGAATATGAAGGGATATTTAATTAATAATAATTAAGATCATGATAAAAAAAAATAAGAAGAGCATGAGATAATAAAATAAGAATACGAAAATGTATTCACTAAATATGAATGAAGACTCATAAGCATTAGGGAATTCAAAGTATATATATTTTATTTATTTGTTTAAATAAAAATAATTACGATGAATTATTTTCACATAATTAATTAATCATAATAAGATAATAAAAATAACTATTAGAATTCTATTTTAATAGTTAATATGGAATGCTAGGATTTTGTTTATGAAAAAAATTAAGTGGCTTTTATAATAGTAACATTTATACTAATAGATATATATTGTTCAAGCTTAATTTTGGGAGATGAATGGTAAGTTAACATTTTTATAATAAATTTGATAGTGAGCCGTGCAAATATAACTTATGACTTAACATAGTAATTTTAAATAATTTAATATTTATGTTAATTTTTATTGAAAATAAATTATGCAGTTAAATGATAGCATGCAGAATAAGTAAATAATAATATTAATTAAAATAGATTTAAAAATGAGAGTATTAAAAAGATAGAATTTAATTCAAATTTTTATATAATAATCATACATTTAAAATTAGGATTCGATATTCATCATTAATTTAAGGGCAAGAATTCAATATGAGAAGAGTTATAAATCAATTTTATAATATATATATTATATATATATATATTATATATGTTTAAGTATATATAATATCTCATTATTATATATATAATACTAATGAGTGAATATTAATTAATGGATGTTTTATATATTAATATGTCAAAGTATGTATTAAATTTTAGAAATAATTAAAAATAAATATATTATATTAATCAAATAATTGAATGTAAAAAATAATATAATTAAATTGCACAAATTTTACTCTTGTTTGACCTCCATTTATTCGAGGTCAATATTCCCTGTGCCGACTCTTAGTGAACTAGGTCCTTATAATCTAAGCATAAATGTCCGCCTTTAGGATTTCCCATATCCCTGATGATATAGCCTGATTTCACTTTCTCTAATTCAACCCAAAAAAAATTTAACTCAATACTGACTTTAACCCACTCGAGTAGAGTTCAACTTAGGGGTCCAATATATTCAATTAGATAAAGTGACTCATCAATAAGGCCATTTAAAAAATTGAATTGTAAATTAATCAGAATTAAATCATTTTAATTCAAACCGTAAATTTTATTAAATTAACACCTCGCAATTCCCATTAAAATCCAATATATATTCATAATATTATATAGTAATATATATTTCTTGCATATAATGTCTTAATAAATTTATTATTAAAAAGTTCGGCTCTGATAACATATTGTTATGATACATCTATAAGTACAGCAATCACAGTCTTTTACATCGTTTCGCAGAATCTGCTAATAGAATAAACTAAATAAAATTGTTGTTGGCTCAAGAAAAATGGCTCGAATGCACGAATCCCGCTTTGTAACTGTGGGATTTCATTTCCCTTAAGTCAAATTATAGTTAACCATATTTCCCCTTATGGTGATATCAGGGTTTATAGATCTGGGGTTTTTACTTCCTATGAGCGCAAGCACTCATAGTTAATTACCCCTCTTAACAAGTATGAGAGAACTCTCGATTAAGCATGAATAAAGTTTAGGTAGTTTAGTCTCAATTATGGGAAAAATGGAGGTAAACTCGATCAAGATCCCATGGTTCTGTCGTCCCGGGTATACCGCGTATTCAGTCTACCAACACTAACAACCATCGATCGTAGTATCCAGGGAATATGATTAGCAGCCAGGGGTTGCCTCCTCTTAGGGATCCCGAGTAAACTGAAGTTGTTAGATGTGAGTTTTAGTTTAAATTTAATTTGGGTTGGGGCTTATGGCTTTCTTAGAAGTTGCCCGTTAATTTATTTAGTTTTGGGCTTATGGCTCCAATTAAGAGTTGCCCAAGAATTTGATTTAGAATGGGGCTTATTGCTCTATTTATGAGTAGCCCAATGATGGGTACTACAACCTACCTCTAAAGTGAGGCTGTCTGAAAATTTTAATTATGTCTTCCCTTAGGAAGTAGCATGAAAAATGGGTCTTACAACTTAATCCTATAGTCTAAGATGCCCAAAGATTTGAATTTAGATTGGTACTTATAACTCTTATAGGAAGTAGCCCGAATTAGTTGGACTTACAGCCTCAATTGAAGGTAGCCCAAATATTTTAGTTAGGTAGATCTTATTGCTTCCTTAGAAGTTGTCTAATTATGGGTCTTACGACCTAACACTTTAAGCTAAGTGGCCCGAGTTGTATGTCTTACAACCTGGTCCTTTAGACTAGGATGCCCGAAGATTTAAATTTAGATTGAGACTTACAACTTTCATAGAAAGTAGCCCGTTAGTTATTTGTAGGATTGTTAGCATTGTTATACTTTGTTTTAAAAGTATCCCTAACACATGGGGCTTACGACTTTACTTAGAAGTGGCCCGTTGGTAGGCCTTACAACCTAACCCTATGGGTTAGGATGCCTCTATGAGAGGTCTAAGTTTGTATTATCACCTAAACACCTCCCTCAGATGTCGGACTTATGGCTTCTATTAGAAGTGGCCGAGGTTTTAATTTGGGGTTAGGAGTTAGGTCAATTTTTTACCTAAAACTTCCCCAAAGGCTGGACTTACGACTTTCCTACGAAAGTTGCCGGGTAGTGGGTCTTACAATCTAATTCTTATAAATTAGGCTGCCTAAGAGAGTTGAAATTTGATTGTTTGGAGATTTGTTTTGAACTTGTTTGAGTTGGTTGATTTTGTGATTTTGACACTTTCAAGTTTTGACACCAGTGTTAGTGTAGTTGTTTTGATTTGTGCTTGTAGTCTTTTTCCTTACTATAATAGTTCACTTCTTTACCCGTCTTTTCAGCACTGTTACACTACTGGCTTTTTTCGTACTCAGCTTTTCTTGCTTTTCAGTACTCTGTTTTACTTACAGTAACTAGATTTACCACTTTCTCACATTTATTTAATTTATTTATGATGCACTGATTTTTTTTATTGCTTGTATGCAGACAAGTAATGCTTGCAGCAGTTCAATGGATAGTCCACAAGTAATTGTAGGAGCTCGTATAGGGGAGCTTTGAAGAGCTTGCAAGAAGTTCAATTTTGAATGGGTAGAGTTGTTTGGAGAGGTTGAGCGTGTTTGTATAAGGGATTTGGAGAGTTTAAGAGTTTTGGAGAGCAATTTGTACAAGATTTTAGAGAGCAACATATGTTGATTAGTGGATCTATCCCCCTCCTCCTTTCTCCATTTTATTCAATGCATTTTTTTTATTTATTACTTGCTCTATTTAGTTAATTAAAATGTTCCCAAATTTAAATTGCTCTCAAATAATTTTTTATATTTTAAATAACTTTTGTATTTTATACAATTTAATCATTCAATTAATTTTAATTAATTAATATTAGTTAATTAATAAAATTTTTATTAATCAATTGATTAATTAACATTCAAAATTTGATTGCTCTTCCAATTTTAAATGTTTTTTAGAGATCCGCGCTTTTTCCAAAATTCACTAAGTCCAAAATTTTCACCTCCCCACTGAGGAAGAAATCGGGATGGCTTTTGCCGGAATTCTTTCCTATCCGGACCTAAGGTCGATGGCGTAGGGCCTTCGAATTTAAACCATCCCACCATGATCTAAGATCGATTGCGTGGGGTCTTTGAATTAAAATCATCCCGGCCGGATCTAAGGTACAACGACCCAGGGTCTTTAAATTTAAAAACCATCTGCACGGATTAAAAATAAATAAAAATAAATGTTTTCTCAACGAGTTGGTCACGTCGGAGGCAACCGTGAGCAAAGCTTGGTTTTATGGATTTGGGCGAACGAGCGGCGGAGGCGAAGTCGAACGGCAAGGGTGAAGCCGAAGGAGTGACGCGTGCAATATTTGTACCTCTTGCAAAGCAACATAGTCGAACAACAATGACGAAGAGAGAAGATGAACGGCGAACCCTAGGCGCCTCTGTGAAACCACCAAGTCGAATGAAATGAGCGTAAGTTATCTTTTTCTCCTCTCCGTATTCCATCGTTTTATCGTTTTGGATTGCCGATCTCTCCAAAGAGATGCGTTGCCTGGCAAAGTGGGGCCGACTGGGAGGTATGTCGGTTGTTTTGAAATTTTTTCGTTCTCTCTTTTTTTTTTTAAAGTCAACAACTGTTCAATAAAATTTAAAATTTTCGAATAAAACACTTAAATAATATCTTTCATTAACGAACTATACTAAATAAAACCTAATTCAATTAAAAGCATAATAAATGAAGGAGTTTGTCCGGTTTAACCAAAATCCTCCCCACGATCTCCCTCTTCTCTCTATTTTCCGGAAAAAACCCCAGCCCCATTCGGATAACCACCCGAACTCCTCTCCGTGACTCCGTCTCCCTCTAATTCGCATGCCCCTCCCAATTCGCGAAAACCCTAGGTGCCCCGTCTCCTGGGCAGTTGGCGAAAACCCCCTGGCTTCGTCTCTCCCAGTTTGCAAGAAGGGCGAAACCGAAACCCCCATCCTCTCTTCTCTCTCCTGCCCGAGTAGAGCTAGCCGCCAGCCCCCATTCGCAAGAAGGTCGAACTCCCCTTTCTTCTTCCTTGATCTCTTGCGTGAGAAGCTCCAGACGGGATTCCCATCCTCCATCTCCCTTGCTCGCATGGACAGCAGACCAAGCCCTTCCCTGCACTAACAATGCCCGTTTACAGAATCGAAACCCCTAGGAAGCTTTAGCCTTGCTCCCGTCTTCCTCTAGTTGATGAGGAACTTCATTGCTACGTACGAAGGTAACGATCTCCCTCTCTTTACACTCTTTTTACTCAAGATATGAGAAATAAATGTTCATAAAGATTTCATGGCTTGCTTAATATCTACTGTGTGTAGTGATAAAACGTATTTCATTGAAACCTCCTTATAGATCTCTCATTCCAATGGGCAGCATGTTATCCGATTTTATCTCTTTGAGTTTGGGCTTGAGAAGTTCTTTGACTGCTTTGTGTAAGAAGTTAAAAAAAAAAAAAAAAAATCCGTGGAAACAAGGAATCGTTGTGATAATAACAAGATTGAGCTTTCTAACTGCTTCTTTAATGTCCCTACAAATTTATTTGTGTTTGAAGGGAATTGTAGACACATGCAGTGAAACTATAAATTTGATTCCTATATTTTAGAGACTAACGATTTCTATAGAGATTTTCTTCTTGTTGGGCCCTTTGGTACATTAGTTATGAGACATGTAATCAATTCTTAGCAAATGATGCTTTATTTAGTGAAACTTGATCAAAGAGCCTATATTCACATCTTGGGCTTTAGTAGCATTAATGGTTTGAGTTTCAACCACTTTACAGGAATCCAATATAAAATTCTTAGTTACGTTGAGCACATGTGAGTGCTCTATGTTACAAAATCACTCTAAACCTTTGATGCAAGAGTACACTCATATTGAAAATATATCCTGTATTTCAATTGTTTGTGGTTAAATCAAGTTTATGTATATGTTTGTGGTTAAATCAAGTTTATGTATATGTTTCACACATTCATATATACATGCATATTTGATAGAAAAGAAGTTTATTTGCTGGATTAGAAACATATTACTCCTTACGAAGGCTCCAAGTTGCATGCTATATATAAGGAAGTTGTTGGTTGCATGAATCATGATTTATTATTGGATGGTTGCTTGAATGGTTAAAAGGTAATAAAGTTGCATTAATTTATGTTTCTTTTATCAATCTTTGTTGGCCTAATTATTGAAGACAGTGAGTTGCATTCATGAAGAAGTGATTATTTTTGAGATCTTTGGAAAGAATAAAGTTGCATGAAAACTTCTTTCTTCTTCTAATTGCATTTGGTATAAGTGTTAAGTTGGAAAAGTCTTATGTACTTTTGCTCATGTTATTGGAGTATTTACTTGAAATGTGAAGAGTATAGATTGACATCAAAATCTCTTTCTTAAGGTGGCATTTTAGTATAAATGTTGAGTTTCAACTTTCAACATCAAGTGGGATGGTTGTTTTTGCTGCTTGGTAAAAAAAAGGTGTAGTTTTCTTTCTTAAATGTGTGGCTTTGAATAATAGAGAGGATGAATATTGGAAGTGAAAAGTTGTTTTGAAGGGTGATGCTTGTGAAAGTTAAAGAATGATTTTGGGATGAGGTGTAACATTTTGGGAAAATGAAATGCGTATGATTTTGGGAATGGTGTGGGAAGTGTGTGTGTGTGAAAAGTGAATTTTGGGATTTTGGAAAGGTGATAGTTATATGTTGAGCCCAAACTCAAGTAGGATTTAACATGGTTCTCGTTTGGTTGAGCAATTTCACTGCACGTAATAATTTTGAATTCTTTATGTAGGATCAGAAATAGGCGATTATGACGAGAGCTTGCTCGTTGCGACGATGGCAATCTTTTTTTCCTTTCACGTGCTTCTTCGGCCAAATTCCATAAATTCTCCAAGCTTTCGGATATAAATAAAGGATTTACAGCAAAATGGTTACGAGCGATTTGATTCAATGTGAAATTCAACAATTCCCTAAATTTGTATCCCAAGTTAATCTCGCCCATCCTTGATGCCTCCAATTTTTCTTTCCTGGCTTTCGCATATAAGGAGAAATATGGAGTCAGGATTTGGCCACAAGTCATCTACAATGATTGTTGTGAACTCGCCGAGCCTGGAGCTCGACTTCACCAACCACGCCTACTGCTCCGCCGACAATTTTTGGAAGTTTGCAATCCCTGGATGCAGCCTTGCTCAAGTTATCGTTGGAGATTCTGTCGTTCTTCCCCATTTATATTCTTTATTCATCCTATTATACATTCTAATCCTTCATTTTTTGGTCGGTTTCTTTAAATTTATTTTGAATTTGTTCGATTGCTGGTTTTATGGAACACTCCCAGTTGCGTAAGCGGCTCCACCGCTACATCTAAGGTACATCCATTTTTTTAAATAATTAACGTGTCTGTGTTAGGTCGTATCTGTATCGTTTGCTCGTGTCTATACATCATAGATACAACTAGGGCTGTCAATTCGTGTCGGCGGGTCGTGTTCGAGTCAGACCCGAATTTGACCCGATTGTATCTGACCCAACCCGAAACAAGTTTCGGGTCAATTATCTGGACCCGAACTCAACCCGAATCGGGTTCGGGTCAACACGACCCGACATAGAATTTTGAAAATAAATCTCAAAGAAGCGGGTTACGGTCGCGAAGTAGCGGTAGGCGGCAGCGGCAACACGTCACAACGGCAGGCGCACGCCGTGTGGCAGCAGCGACACAGCGGCGACGCCAGTCTGTTCCGGCGGCACGGTGGCGCGACAGCAGCGACACAACGACAGGAGGCAGCGACAGCATGCGAACGCCGAGACTCATGATTCGCGATTCGCGAAGCAACGTAGAGCCAGTCGCCAGAGCCAGACTGTCAGTGATGCGATTGGGATTGGACTCGACGCGTCGGTCATTTCGCGGGGAAGGCGGGCAAGCCAGGCAACAGAAACGGCAGACTCATTTCCGGGTCAAAACCGAACCCAACCCGTAACTCAAGAAACTATTATTTCTAATAATCATAATTTAAAAGATTAATCTCTCAATAATAATTTAGCTATTTTTACAAATAGCTTCATATACTCCAAATGGATTTAATGTCTTGAAACTTTTTTAAAGCTGGTGTTGATTTCAAAAGGATGTTAGCCAAGTTCCTCTGGGAACTTACTTTCCAGTTCAAGGAAACAATGATGAGCATTCTAGAATGGAGTGTTATACATGAAAAGTCATTCTATCATTGACGAATGCAATGTTTAATACTGCTCCAGCTATGAAGCTGTAGTTTGCAGGACTATAACTTTCAATTATATAGCTTAAAATGCTCTTCAGATTTCTATGTTGCTTTTTTATTATTCAAGCAATATCAACTGATTTCACCTAAAATGCTCTTCAGATTTCTATATTTCACGCCCTCAGCTAAGCACTCCATTTCCTTCTCTGATTAGTTCAAGAAACTTTTTTTCACCCTGGGTGTTAAAGATCAACCGACTCATTTTAGAGAATAATGGATTGAGGTTGAGTAAACATTAAGCAATTTTGTTTAGAGTTTTATATATGCGACATGAATGAGAAATGTTGTAGATTGTGCCTCACATATAGTAGGGATAATGAGTTCAACAGTTCATGTTGAAGTTGGACATGAGGGGGTAAGGAGAACGAGGATAGTTGTTTTAAATTGGCAAATCATCCTGCCAATCGTCAAAAAGTTTAAATTGAGGCCGAATTTGATTCAAGTAAACAGTTGTATAGATTGCATAAAATTAATTCTTAGCATGGCGGATCTGAGTCGGCTCGACCCGAGCTTGATTTGATCTCGACTTCATCATCAATTATTAAAGTTGAGTTGATCTGAGCTCGAATCAATATAATTAATAACCAAATAAATTTAATTGGGCCTCGATGAGTCTATTTGACTTGGCTCAAGGTCAAAATTATTGAAAAATAATTTGGTTAATAATTAAATAAATTCTAACGAGCAAAATTGAGTTGATTCGATACGAGTCAAACTCGATTTAAAGCTTGTCGATTTCAATCGACTCAATTTAATATGATCTGTCTTAATTTTGATCAAATTGATTTCATTTAGCTCAAATCGACTCGACCAATTGAACTCAAATCCATTTCTACTAAGTTCGATTCAACTCTAGGTATCCAAAATCGTCTCTCCAAATTCCTCTAAAACTTAGCTTCAATCTCAGCCCTTAAATCCCTTCCTAAATCAAGATTTAATCTAAGCCTTTGATTTTAAAATCAAGTGAGGGGTAGGATTGTCTTTTGCATCTCAATAGAAGATTCTAGCTATAAGAGGGCTGTTTGGGTGGGGTCCTTCATATTCATTTGGCTTGGCTTTCTTGTTCGTGTGACAAAAAACCAGAGCGCGAACGAAAGAGAAAGAGGGAGGCCGACAGAGGTGTGGGAGGCGGACTGGTGTTCGAGAGAGCTTCGTCGATTGGGACACGGTAATCTCCTTGCCAATCGTCTTCCCTATCTTCTTCCTCATTCTCTCAATCTTTTTCTTCACCTTCTATTTCATTTTCTCCATCATCATCTTCTTCTCCTTCTATGTATGCGTTCTTAATTTCTTGCCTTATCTTCCTGATTTTCTTTCTCAAACATTTCACTCATTAACCTGTTGATTTGATAAGCCTAATATTGAAGGGTTTCAAGATTTCTTGATTGGAAATCGTAAGAGATTTCTTTGATTTGTTTGCCTGGGTTTTGCCACTGAATAATTTCCGTAATCTGTGAATATTTACATTTTTTTCTTTCTCTGTGGCATTTTTTTATGATGAAATAAACAATTGCTGCACCTATGTTCTTGGTTGTTTTTGAAGATTTTGTTGGTAAGGAAATTAATGAAGGCCCTTGTTATTTAAAGACGAATAGCGTTGATGCTTACTTAGCCGGTGAAGTAAGTTTTCTTGAAACTCAAAAGACTTTAGGGCTCTTACACCTTTTTAATGTGTGCTTCCTTAGCCTTAGGTACTTATAGTTGCCTGTTAAATTTAATTTGCATTTATTTTCTTTAAACCCAAAACCCATTAGCTTATATTCACGTGTATGTCCAAAGGGTTTGTAACAGTGATTGTAAACCTATAAAATAGTAGTGTCATTTAAAGATAAAAATTAAGGACCCGCTTTAAAAAACTTATATTAAAATTAGGATTTATATACCCTTTAAGGAAAAAAAGGTAAACATAAAAAACTTAGTGACACCTTATTTTAGATTAGTGTACACTATTAACTTGATCTCAA